TCCAGCCTAGCCTCGAACTCACAGAGATCTGCCTGCCTCTGCCTCCCGAGTGCTGGGATTAAAGGCGTGTGCCACCACCGCCTGGCAATTTTCCTTTTTCTAATCTTTTTCTCTGCTTGCTTGGTTCCTAGTGGTTCATAGGTTGACAGGTTATACAGTGACTTTAAAGGCTTAAAATCAGACTTTAGCATCAGAAGTAGGATGGCAGAAAGAAACTATTGTCTTCACGGAGAACAGAATATGAAATGCAAGCTGCAGAGGAGCTGGGAGAGCAGCCAGGGGTGTGGGGTCACAGAGCTATACTTTGAGTCCAGGTGCAGAGGAAAGAAGACAGGAAAAGGAGGAAGTGATGACTAGGCAGAAGTTGGACATCAAGGACTAAAGGAAGAAATACAGACAGATGAGAGAGGATTAGACCATGCCACAGACTGAACCCTAGGGACAGTCAAGAGATTTCCATCTGTTAATACTCAAAAAATATAGACAAGGTGACAAGTTGGAAGCTTTGCAGGAACTCTCCTAGAAGATAATTTTTTGTTCTTCCTGCAATTAGTTTTGTCTTCATGCAGGGCAGAGAGGCACATCAGGTCCAAATGCCTTGGAAAAACCAACATGAGTGAATAAACAGAATGTAATCCAAATAAATAAAGGACTGAGTTTACTCCTTCTGTTGAGTAAACAGGGGGCCAAAGAAGAATAACAGAGAGAAAAATAAGTCCCCTTCCACCCTTTACCACTTGTGAGGTTGGTCTTCACTTCACAAGGGATCAATATCCACATTTTAGTAATGATGCAAACAAAGAAATTTTGTCAGAGGGTAAATAAGGCACGGTTCCATCTTCCATGGCCCTAGAAACAAAACATTTTTGTAGTTGCTACTCTGGAATGACAAGACTACTTCAATTAATGCTACAACCATCCCATCACGCTCTTATGAGATCTAGGGATTCTGGTGAGAAATAACATCAGGATCTTAAGAGACAGAAGTGACGGCACTTCTTCCTCTGAGGCTCATAGAGGCATCTCACATGTCCTCGGATGCCTTGGAAACAGAGCATCTTGTCATAGCATCAGTGTCAGTGAGTGAGCATATCTTTTAAATCCACCAACCTCAGTTAAAAACAAAAGGAACTGAACACCATGAGTGTAGAGATGATGAGGATCATAACAAACAAATGTGATACCGAAGGTTAGGTACAGAGTCTCCAGGTCATCAAATAACCCTAGATTACTTCCTGACTAGCCAAACCAGTGTCCATAACACAGAGACCACAAATCTTCCTGAGTCTATCATTGTCTTTGTCAGGATTTATCATTGCCATTAAGGATAAAAGGTCTTTGTCATGGGATTATGTGTGGCCTGACTGTAGTCACTGGGCACTTAAGACACCCGGGAGACTGTCAATGAAGTGAACACAGTTGCCTCTGCCTCACACTCTGCTGCCAGTGTCAGCAGCTGAGCCCACTGCCAAGCTATGCCAGATACTCTGAAAGCCCAAGAAAAACACCCTCTGCCTCTCTGAAGTGGGATTATGGCATAGATTTGTCAGGAGCCATGAAAAAGAACTAGACAATGGTGATGCGATTGGGCTGGCTGTGATTGGTCCACATTCATGTGACCTCACAGGGAGCCACTGTGAAGTATGACAGCCCCCCCCCATCTAAAGGACCAGTTGTGCCTGGATCTTATCCTTATTCTGCTGTGAACCTGTTAGTAGGCTACGAAGCAGTTGGATTCAGAGTTTGTTCTGAGAGCTTTTTTTTTTTTTTTTTTTAGTATTATCTTTGGATTGAACATCTGTGATCTGCACTGACCTGAACATAGTGAGTTTGCTTACTGGGTGTTGGATTGGTGTTTGGATTTTGATTTGTTGTTTATAGTCTTGGATTTACTTCATGTATTTGCTTAGGCTTTTTGTTTATTACTGACTCTTTTCTGTTGTCAGCTTTTTGATTATTTCCTGGCATCTACTCCTTCTAGGTAAGTTTGCTTCTTTTTGTTCTAGCACTTTCAGGGGCTCTCTTAACTCACTAGTGTGGTAATTTTCATATTTCTTCATGTGGGCACTTAGTGCTATGAACTTTCCTCTTAGAACTACTTTCAGAGTGTCCCATATGTTTGTGTATGTTGTCCTGCATTTTCATAATATTCTAGAAAGTCTTTGATTTCTTTCTTTCTTTCTTCCTTTACCCAGGGGTGATGCAATTGAGCATTGTTCAATTTCCATGAGTTTGCGGGGTTCCTGCTATTTGTGTTGATGTTGAATTCTAATTTTAAGCCATGGTGATCTGACAAGATACAGAGAGTTATTCCAATTTTTTGTATCTGTTGAGGTTTGCTTTATTGCCAATTATGTAGTCGATTTTAGAGAAGGTTCCATGTGGTGCTGAGAAAAAGGTATATTCTTTTTTGTTTGGATGGAATGTTCTATAGATGTCTGTTAAGCCCAATTGGGTCATAACTTCTGTTAGTTCATTGTTTCTTTGTTAAGTTTCTGTTTGATAGACCTGTCCAGTGGTGAGAGTGGAGTGTTGACGTCTCCCACTCTAACTGTATGGGGTTTAATGTGTGATTTGTGTTCTAAAAGTGTTTCTTTTACAAATGTGGGTGCCTTTGTATTTGTGGCATATATATATTCAGAATTGAGACTTCATCCTGATGGACTTTTCCTATGATGAATATGAATTGACCTTCTTCATCTCTTTTGATTAATTTTAGTTTGAAGTCTATTTTCTTAGATATTAGGATAGTTACATCTGCTTTCTTCTTAAGATCATTTGATTGAAAAATCTTTTCCCAACCCTTTAACTTGAAGTAGCGTCTGTCTTTGAAACTGAGGTGTGTTTCTTGTATGCAGCAGAAGCATTTATTCTGTCTTCGTACCCATTCTGTTAGCCTGTGTCTTTTTATAGGAGAGTTAAGACCATTGACATTCAGGGATATTGATGACCATCGATTGTTGATTCTTGTTTGCTTTGGATCCGTTTTTGGTGGTGGTTTTGTGTGTGAGTTTTCCCCCTATTTCTGACTTCTGGTAAAGTGAGATTATCTATTGCACATGTAATTGTGAGTGTAGTTAACTTCCTTGGGTTAGATTTTTCATTCTAGAACTTTCTGTAGTGTTGGATTTGTGGACACATATTGTGTAAATGTGGTTTTGTCATGGAATATCTTGCTTTCTCCATCTATAGTGACTGAGAGTTTGCTAGGAATAGTAGTCTGGGCTGGAATCTGTGGTCTCTTAGTGTTTGTAAAACATCTATTCAGGATCTTCTGGCTTTCAGTGTTTCCTTGGAGAAGTCGGGTGTAATTGTGATGAGTTTGTCCTTATATATTACGTGGCCTTTTTCCTTTTCTGCTCTTATTATTTGAGTATTATGTGTTGGTGTTTTCAGTATTATGTGATGAGGAAACTATTTTTTGGTCCAGTCTATTTGGTGTTTGGTAAGCTTCTTGTACTTTCAGAGGCATCTCTTTCTTCAGGTTGGGAAAGTTTTCTTCTATGATTTTGTTGAATATGTGTTCTGCACCATTGAGCTGGGCTTCTTTGCCTTCTTCTATACCTATTATTCTTAGGTTTGGTCTTTTCACAGTGTCCCGTATTTCCTAGATATCTTGTGTTAAGGGTTTTTTTTGGATTTAAGACTTTCTTTTGTCAATGACTGTCTTTGCTCTAGTTTATCTTCAGTGCATGAGATTCTGTCTTCCATCTCTTGTATTCTGTTGGTTATGCTTGCATCTGTAGTTCCTGATTGTTTATTCAGTTTTTCTATTTCCAGCCTTACCCCAGTTTGGTTTTTTTTTATTATCTCCATTTCAGTTTTCAGGTCTTGAACTGTTTGAATTGTTTCTTCATTGGTTTGACTGTTTTTTCTTTGCTTTCTTTTAGAGATTTGTTGCATTTTTTGGTTTGTTTTTTTCTTCTATTTCTTTAAGGGATTTTTCTCATATCTTCTTTGAGGACTTGTATCATTTTCATGAAGTTGTTTTGAAGGTCATTCTTTTCTGTTTCATCTGTGTTGGGATGTTCAGGTCTTGCTGGTGTAGAGTTTCCAGACTCTGGTGGTGTCATACTGGTTCCTCTATTGTTGGCTGAGTTTTTATATTGCCATCTTCCCATCCCTTCTTTCAGTGAGAGCTCATGGGGTCTTTTCCTCTCCTGGTGTATTTGGGTCTAACTCACTGTGGGCATGAAGTATCTCTGTCATGTATTGTTGACCAATCTTGAACAAGGAACCTCATTTCGCGTGATGTTCATCAAGGACATTAGTTTATTCATAATTTGTGTGTGTGTGTGTGACTGCACGCTTATGGTTTGGCATGAGTGTAGTTTGGCTTTTTACAATGTTTGGAATGATCTCTCCTTGTCTGCTTCGTGAAGTAGCATGAGAATCATTAACCTCCATTGTCCCATAGAGCCTGCATGTAAGACCCTTTATGCAATCTATCGGTCCTGGGCTTTCAGTGTTGGGAGAGACTGTATTACTCTTTCAACTTAAGAATTTACCATCATTTTCAGGGTGCAGCAGTGGTTAAAAAAAGGGGGTGCATGTTTGATATCCTGATGTATTACTGGTGGCTTCTGGTTGTGAATTGAGCAGTATCTGTCTTTGAGGATCGTCAATCTCTGAAGTACAAGGTTGACAGGCACCTTGAGGATTCCCATGGATGTACACATCTCTTTCCTTTCTCACATTTCAATAATTTGTGTCTTTCTGTGGGTGATTCATGTCAAGGGCTTCTCAGATTGGTTCGTCCTTCAAAGAACAGGATCTTCTTTCTCTGACCTTTGTTTCAAGCTCAACTGTACAGTTACTTCCTCCCTGAACTTTCTTACACTTTCTCATATGTCCTTTGGCGTTTGGAAATTTATTTAATCTTTGACTTCAAGATGAATAATTAGTATTCTTGAAAGACCTTTGATTATCACCATCTAAAAATTGATAGCCAGGACCTTGTATCATAGAGATGATTTTGTTTTTCTACTTCTAGCATTTGGTGGTGGTGCTATTCTCCACCTGAAAAGGTGGAGGACATGGCAGAGGAAATATCATGGAGGGATCTCAGTGATGCCAATGTACAAGCAGTATCCAGATCCCTACATTTGATGTGGTCGATCACAACTCTGGTAAAAACTGTGTGTTCCCTCAGCGACCTGGAGGAGAACAACTGTGAAACACCTGGAACAAAGACATTTTATGAAGGCCTTGCCCAAAATGACATGCTTTATGAGAGAAAAAGCAATTATAGGATTGGCCTAATAGAAAACCATCGAAAGAGCCGTTCCACCAAGAGGCCTGCACATCGTCTCACACTCCCTCGATTTCCATTGAAGAGGAGATGGAGTGAGCTGGCTCTGCCCACGTTTTTCACAACCTCGCCACAAAGGCCAAGCAACAAAGGCCAGGAGGTAAACGAAAAAAGTAGCTAGTGTTTCCCTAAATCCATCTCACCTGATTTATACATCAGACATTAACTCTCCTGTGAATTCTGCCCCACAGAGTGATTGTCTGAAGACAGTAAGAGTGTCTGAGGAGACGGAAAATGCTGTCTCATTTGGGGAAACACCTGAGGCTGAGATAGAAGAGACCATCACTTTTAGTACTACAACGCTGGATTTACTGGGCGTGCTAGCAGACCGCAAATGTGAAATGAACCATGAACCACATGATGATGCCACCATTATGAAGAATGAAGCAAGTGCAGATTTGAGTGACCTTATCAGCCAAATGACAAGGGATCTCACATGTGCTGTGTCCCACTCACAGCATGGGAACATCCGATGTGAAATAGTCAATGACATAATGAGTATGGCATTGCCATCTCCATCTCCAAATGAGGAGCTCCAGGAGGCACCCATAGCCTCCAACAGGCAAAGCAGAAGGAGCTGGAAAGGGGTGAGGAGGCAGCGTAGGAACACGTTTCGAAGCTTATGCTGCTGCTTCGTCACCCCGAGTACAAATAGCACAACATCCAGGTATGGAGGGGAAGGAATAGGAAAGGGGTTCACAGAAATGGTGCAACAAGGCCACAAAATTCACATGGGTATTTGATGTTTCGTTTTCAAAGGCTCTTTGGCACTGATAGGCTGCACACATTTACAGGACATGAATCATAGGGTGTCTCTTAACCTAGAAATAGTTTCCCACTGAATCTGCTCATGAGGAGTCTGGGGAAGTTGAGCCAGAAGCAGACAGCAGGGGTTGTTTCCAGGCAGAAGGATGCAGGGAGATGGGAGGAAGCAGGGCTTTGTGAAAGGGAGCACAGTTAGGAAGGGAGGAATCTGGCAGAGAGAGCTGTGGCAGCACAGGGCCACCCTTTCTAATTCCTTCTCTATCCAAGTGAGTGAAACAGTCCTTTGTTTGTGTCTTTTCAAGGGTCGAAGATGAGGCCGAGATCCGTGGTCCCTAAACCACAGGTCTGTGTTCGGCCTGGTGGGGCGTAAGAGACACTGGAGGGAACCAGGCCAGAACAGAAAGGAGGTGTGCCCCACACCTCTTCTTCATGCCATACACCTCCAGCAACCTGAGAACAAGCTATGTCAACATCCTCCCATGCAGAGAGGGAGGCTTGATTTCATTGGTCTGCAGCACTAGTGGCTGGGCAGTGAAAATAGCCCATTATTCACCGGACATGAAGAGGAATCCATCCTGCTCCACAGTCCACAGAAGAAAAGTAAGTGCCCTTCATGACTCTGGATCCCCATCAACTTCCCCTCTCCTTTCTGTCAACAGAAGCAATGAGCAGATTCAAAGAAGTCTTAGGTGGTAAAGAGGCACAGGAAGAAGAGGGGAGAAGAGGAGGAGTAGGGCCAGTGGAAAATGTCACCAAAGAAAAGCAGTAAGAGAGGGAGGAGTAATAGGCATGAGACTGAATGAGGAGGACATTTGTCCAGAGGAAATTCCAGCATGGCAGCAGAAAAGTAAGGGATGACTCTGTGGACTGCTGACAGGGTCCCAGCCGAGCAGGAATAGGAGTCAGATTTTCCTGAAGGAGACTTGGGGCTCATGGGTCATGGGTACATAGATGAGAAGACCTTATCTTATGTTTCTCATGAAATCCAGCTTGAATGCTGCCTGGGAATTCTGCTCTTGTCCAGAGATGCTCAATCAGGGTGTGGTTTCAGAGAACAGAAGCCTCATGTTTCTCAGAAGCCTCTTCCTATGTCTGCCTGACCCACTCTTGGATTGATCTGGTGACATCTGTGTCTTTGTCTTCACAACCCTCTTCCTTCAGGCCCCAAGTTGCTATTCCCCCATCCAAGGATTATTCAAACATACAAATTCCATGTCCCGTGCAGGATTCCTTGACTTTGAGTAAAGGACAATATAGTTCTTTCTACAATGAATAGATAAGCAATTCTTTACAGGACCGTGGAACATCACTGCCCAGACAAAGCCAGCTAACTTGGCAATTCTCTGAGGCCAATGCCACCTTTGGTTAGAATTAGAAGGAAACCTAATTGTCAAAGAGCTGTAGATGACAGCTGGGGACTGGTGTACACCTTAGCTGTTTGAGCTGTTGGCAGTCTTCTCCTGCCCAACTTTCCCATAGGAAGAATGTTCTTGACTCACCAGGGCACCCCAGCTAACATTGATTTCTGGGATCTAATCTCGTAGGATCATTCAGGTGTAATAAACTGATGTCCACTGTGTATCTCCTGTGGTAGAACATGAGTTTCCTCATCTTTGTCTTGATGTACACCAACCATCCATACTGACCTCTCTTCTTTGCAGAGGTAGATGGTCCTTTGTGACTGCTTATCAGTTTGTCTGAGATACACTTGATTGGTCAAATCTTGCACCTGTAGCCATGATCAAGGCCTACATGGCAGCTTGCTCAGCTAGTTCTACTGACAGTCATAGTGGCTCATTTTATTCTAATACTTCTCCCTTTACATGTTACTTGGAATTTTTCTCTTACATTCATATTCTTATATTGTTTAGATTATAATGTGCTGAGTATAATTTCCTTTTACTTTTGAAATTCTTGTCCAAGCTAGCCAACTGTGAATGCCCTGTGAAGCTGGACCTCAACTAATGTGAACAACAACGTTCCTCCTTGGATCAGGTTTCAAAGGTGGAAGCCATACTGTGCAGTTATGCTTGCTCTGCCTTTTCTGTGAGCATCTACCCTTCTGGTAAGAACTGACTTCGTTGAAATGCTTTAGTGGGAGTGGTGGTCTCTTGTTTGTGTCCACATGACTTTTTCCAACAGACTCCAGCTTTTTTTATATGAATCTAAATATGTATCAGTTAATATAGGCACCCAGCACACTTGTGAGTTGTGACCCGGTGGGGGAAGTCTGGATATTACATTCAAGTCCGGCAAGCTGTGTTTTTCAAAGTGACAGAGAGAAGGGAAGCAGTGCAGGATTCTCAAGTCTGCAACAGCTTGTGTCTACACTGATGCTTTTGAAGCAGCTTCTGCCCACAGTATCTTTTAGTTTTCATTCAATGATTCTATGTGGTCATAAAACAGATAACAATGACTACAAATAGTCCATACTACATCTCAATGATTCCCATTGAACATATTGTTAAGTGGAATACTCTGGAGTTCCCAATGTTCTGTTAAATATATGAATACCATTCTCTGGTGCATCTTACAGAGAATGATTTTGTGAAGGTTTAAGTCTGAATCGTCTCATATTTTTCACATCTGCTGTGGTTAATATATAACTAACCTCAAGCATCCCTGAGACATGCATTGATTCTGAAGTCACTGTCAACCACCCATCTTGGACCCTGCACCATCACCTGCTTTCACAACCCAGGATCATCGTGTCACTGCTGTGCCTACAACATCTGTCCTATTTCTTCCTTTCCCTGGCTCTCTGCTGTTGGTTTACATGCATGTGTGGTCTTCGAGCTCCCTTCTGCACAAGTTCAACCCAAACTAATTTTCACAGTTGAGTGGCTAATGGCAGAAGAGACACTGGGCAGAACTGTGGTTAAATATCTCTAGAACACATTGACATGTTTACCTGAAAGCTGCACATGCCATCTTGGCCTATTGCCTGGTTTTGCACTCTGCTTAACAGCTGCAATCTCTGTATTGGTATTTGCTGTCTTTTCTATGCCATGCTTTGTCCTCTCCTGGGACTGTTATCCAGGTCTGCCTCACTACTGTAAGCCCTTGTACACACAGCATCCAGAACAGGTGCCTGCTCCTCTATAGTATAAAGACATGTCTATTCATCCTAGGTCCGATGAACAGTTGTGAAAGGTGATGGCTACTCTGCGACTTAAAGGAGTGTGCTAGGTCTCTCTGGAGTCTCCACAGGACAGGTGCTCACATGTGGTAGCAGAAACAGACATGGCTCCTGATGACTGAGTCCTCCACTCTTTGTGATGATCAGGATCTGAAAGAGGTCTTGGCACACAAGCCTGGATGTCTTACCACCTGCTTTTATATTCCATGGGACAAAGTCATTCACTTCACCTCCTTGCTGTTTCAGGAACTCACACTGTGAATCAATCACTGGGAGGAGTTAAGGAGAACTCAGTTGCATGGCTAGGCCTCTACTGTGAGGTCCCTGGAGATGAGATAAAGACAGAAGACCCTGGTCTAAGAAGGAGCTGTGCCTATCTCCCATGGCTTGTTCTTCTCCATCTTCATATTTCTATGACACACTACAGGTAGGGTCAGGCCTAAGGGTACTGGGGAGGACCCTGTTCTCAGTCCCTTCTGGTCCAGATTCCCCAAGAAGTTGTATCTCAACTCTGCTGTTCAGGCAAAGGGATGTCCTTCTGTATCCAGGGAATATATGTTGCCTTTATTGGTGGAGAAATTAAATTGATTTGACCAATGGCCAGGCAGAATTTAACCAGGTAGGAAATCCAAACAGAGTAGAAGACAGAAGAAAGGTAAAGTCACAGAGATGGCATGTAGCCAACAGAGATAAGATGTGAGGTAACAAGGAACAAGCATCATGGTAAAATATAGAACATTAGAAAGATATAAATTTAGAGGTAGAATTAGCCAGTAAGAAGCCTGAGCCATTGACCAAACAATAATAATTCATATTTGGCCTTTGTGAGAACTGGGAGGAGGGACAGAAAACTTCCAAATACAGTTCACTGAGATTTCTGCTTTGGCATGTTCCTTTTCTCAGGCTGTATTGACAGAAACATCCTCTTTCTCCATGTCTCTTGTAGCAACAGCCAGAATCCCCTGCATCCTGTGGAGTGGCTTCAGTGTTGGTGATAATAACATTAAGTGGTACCAGCAGATGATGCAGGGAGTCCTCCTCGGTTTGTCCTGCATTACTACTCAGCCTCAGACAGGCGTCTGGGGCGTCGCGTTTCCATTACATTCTCGGAATCCTCAGAGCCCTCAAAACTGCTAAAAACTTACACACTTCTGAGCTACAGGTGGAGGGTGAGGCTGTTATCTGGGAAAACAGTGTTTCTCACATTGAAATAGGCAGATGGGGGAAGTAGGCATAAATAGTAGCTTCTGCTAAAAAAATCATTCCTGGTAGAATGCTTATAGGAGCCAAAGGAAGGAGAGAAGGAGGTTGCCAACATCACTGTCAAAATATCAGTTTTCAAGAGAGGAGAGACCCAAAATGTTGGTGCTGGCAATGACAGAGCAGTAGGTCTCCCACAAAGGTGCCTCCACCGGATCAGGGCAAGCTGGGTGTGAGCATCCAGTAGGGTGATTACTCTGAGGCACACCAGACTTACCTGATAGTCTTCAGATACATATCCAGAAACAAGCACAAAGCAACCCCGGGATTCATGTACTCCGTATTATTGCTCTACTTCAGTCATGGCCAGAAGAAGAGTGCAGCTGACCTGTCAGTTCCGGTCCTGAGTCTCTGTAGAAGGCCAAGGTGGTTGTAGCTGAGGAGCTGTCCAAAAATCTGGCCATAGTGTTCAGTTTCATGGACCAAACTCTCCCAAGTAGCCTTTTGTCCAGAGCCCTGTAGATGCCTAGTAGAGGACCTGAGCACCTGGGCCTTCCGCACCTCCACCAGCTTCTGGCCCTCACCCCATGCAAAGTGCAAAAATATTGTTAGCCTCAGTATTACTTCTGCTCTCCACTGTTTTCAAGGGCTGCACAATATGCTGGACAAGTTTTCCACCATCGAGGCTTCTGACCTGAGGTGAAATGTTTGTAGCCCAGACTGAACTACAGTTTCTCTGTTTGAAAAGCAAAAACAGTACACTGGTTGTCTTTACAATGTATCCAAAGAAGCATCCATCCATCCAGGATGGGCCACCTTTGGCTCAATCCCCACTCAGTTTCATCTGGTTTCTGCTGCTAGATGTGGACTGTGACAAGGTGGCTGTGTTCAGTACCAGCATTCACTGCAGAGGGACTCCATTTACAGAGTACCTCAACAGGATTGGAAGCTCTTTTTTTGGAGCTACCAAAGCAGACACCTCCAATGGAGGATGGTTTGGGAACCTGCTGATCAGCCTCATGGTCTCCTCAGCGTAGGAGGAGGGTGCCAACAGTCAACATGACAGTATCCAAATTGAGGTGGACTTAAAAGCTGACTGGCCATGTTGGAGATGCTCATGGCCAGCACCAATGGGACTGGTTTATTGCCACACTGAACATGATGCCCCTTACCCACTCGGCTCCTGCTCATTGCATGGCTTGAGGGGCCACCTGTACAGCTGTACAGAGTCTGTCCCTATTCATGTATGCAGGTTGAGTATTTTGTGTTCATGACCATGTATGTGCAAGGCACAATCCCTGTTGGTCAACTATGCTCCTTCAGACATCCCACAATAAAGTGTGGCCCTCCTGTAGCACCCTGCTTTCTTCATTGTCTCTGGTTCATTTTAAAGGCAATAGTGGGACAGGCAGCCTAGCATCAGTGATCAGTATCCCTTCCCCTGTATCAGTGCATTTATGGCATGCCAGAGGAGAGGTGGCTACCTTTATGTGTCAGCAAGAATCCCAAGTACTGCCAATGAGAGCTCTTTCTGCTTTATTTGATTTCTGTTTGGACAGAGTCATTTGACAATCATGGTAAGATTCTCAGGTGCCGTCCATGGGTGCTGTGGTGGACAAGTTCCTTGGAAGTCACAATCAGCCCTTGAAAGTGCATTCTTACTGGTACATATGAGCCTCACGATGCTGCTCTGCAGATGTTGTAAAGAATGCTGTGGGTTTCCAAGTCCTTTACATAGCAGTATTTACCTTTACCGGGGAAGGGATTTTTCAACTTGATGTTTAGGATTTCCCTAAAATATGAGTCCAGCAATGAGCAACAGCCTTAATTACCACAGATAACATATATGCTACCAGTATGACTGTAACAGAGATGCATTAATTTTCACAATTGAAATAAAAAAGAGTTGAGGGGAGAACCACTGGAGACTTGAGGACTGTGCACAGTGAATCCCAGCCCGATGGGATTCCACCTGCCCAAAGACTGCCAACTTCTAAGTCCCATTCTCCACCCACAGGACAGGTGAGGGTCCAGCTTACCCAGAGATTGCCAAGGCCCTGATATTAGGCCGGCCTCCATCCACACAAGAGGAAAGCCACCAGGGTACTGGACCTGCTCCGACCCACTGGAAAGGAACCATGGTCCTTCTGCACCCACAGGAAGAAATGATGGGAAGGAGACAATATAAAAACACACCCACCAACAGAAAAACTAATATGACACTGCCAGAGACTCTATACCTGCAAGACCAGAACAGCCCATTGCAGATGAAGCAAATGAGAAAGACCTTAAAAACAACTTCATGAAAATGATAGAGGCCCTCAAAGAGGATATGAGAAAATCCCTTAAAAAACAAACTAAAAATGCAAAATGGCAAGAAATGGAAGAAAAAAACAAATGAAAAAAATACAAGAAATGGAAGAAAACCAAATCAAAAAGTCAAACAAATGCAAGAAAGAGAGGAAAAGACAAAGCAAAAATTACAAGAAACAATTCAAACAGTGCAAGAGAAAGCTGAAATAGAAACAATAAAAAACAGTCTGAAGGAATGCTGGAAATAGAAAAGCTGGGAAAACAGTCAGGTACTACAAATACAAGCATAACGAACAGAATACAAGAGATGGAAGACAGAATCTCAGGTGTTGAAGATACACTAGGGGATATAGATTCATCGACCACAGAAAATCTTAAGTGCAACAAATCGCTAACACAAAATATTCAGGAAATATGGGGCACAGTGAAAAGACCAAACCTAAGAATAATAGGTATAGAAGAAGGTGAAGAAATCCACCTCAAAGGGGCAGAAATCATAGAAGAAAACTTTCCCAACCTAAAGAAAGACATGCCAATGAAAGTACAAGAAGCTTACAGAACACCAAATAGAATGGACCACAAAAGGAAATCCCTCGCCACATAATAGTAAAAACCACAAACATACAGGATAAAGAATATTAAGAGCAGCAAAGGAAGACGCTAAGAAACTTATAAAGGCAAACCTATCAGAATCACACCTGGTTTCTCCATGGAAGTTCTGAAAGCCAGAAGGTCCTCCATAGATTTTCTAGCAACACTAAGAGACCACAGATGCCAGGCCAGAGTACTAAATCCCAGAATAATTATTCACAGACCTTGAAAGAACAATTCTCAACTTTATATTGAAAAACAAGAGACCCAGGATAGCCAAAACAATCCTGTTCAACAAGACAACATCCGGGGGCATCACCATCTCTGACTTCAAGCTGTATTACAGAGCTATAGTCCTGAAAACAGGTTGGTATTGGCACAAAAATAGACACACAGACCAATGGAATCGAATTGAACACCCTGACATTAACCCATACATGTATGAACACCTGATCTTTGAAAAAGAAGCTAAATTTATACAATGGAAAAAAGAGCATCTTCGACAAATGGTGCTGGCATGTAGAAGGATGCAGATAGATCCATGTCTATCACCATGCACAAAACTTAAATCCAAATGGATCAAAGACCTCAACATAAATCCAGCCACACTGAACCTCTTAAATGAGACAGTGAGAAGTACCCATGAACAAATTGGTACAGGAGACTGCTTCCTGAACATACCTCCAGTAGCACAGACACTAAGATTGATAATTAATAACTGGGACCTCCTGAAACTGAGAGGCTTTTGAAAGGCAAAGGACACAGCAAGACAAAAAGGCAACCCACAGATTGGAAAAGATTTACTAACCCCACATCTGACAGAGGGCTGATCTCCAAAACTTACAACAAACTCAAAAAGCAAGTCTCCAAAACACCAAAAGATCCAATCAAAAAGTAGGGTACAGAACTAAATAGAGAATTCTCAATAGAGGAGTCTAAAATGGCTGAGAGACACTTAAGAAAGTGCTCAACATCCCTATCCATCAGTGAAATGCAAATCAAAACAACTCTGAGATACTATCTCACTCCTGTCAGAATGGCTGAAATCAAAAGCTCCAATGACAGTTTATGCTGGAGAGGATGTGGAGAAGGGAACACTGCTTCACTGCTGGTGGGAGTGCCAACTTGTACAGCCACTTTGGAAATCAGTATGGAGATTACTCACAAAAATGGGAACCAGTCTACCACGAGTCCCAGAAATTCCACTTCTAGGCATATACCCAAAAGATGCACATTCCTTCAACAAGGACATCTGTTCCACTATGTTTATAGCAGCATTGTTTGTAATAGCCAGAACCTGGAAGCAACCTAGATGCCTCCCAACTGAAGAGGGGATAGAGAAAATGTGGTACATTTACACAATGGAGTACTATTCAGTGGAAAAAAATAAATTGAATCTTGAAGGTTGCAGGCAAATGAATGGAACAAGAAGAAACTATCCTGAGTGAGGTAACCCAGTCACAAAAAGAGAAACATGGTTATGTACTCATTTATGGATTATAGACAAGAATCAGGGGAGTTAACCTTGTATCCTGCCACTTTGCTGAAGGTGTTTATCAGCTGTAGGAGTTCCCTTGCGAAGTTTTTCTGGTCACTTATGTAAACTATCATATCATCTGCAAATAATGAAAGCTTGACTTCTTTTCCTATTTGTATCCCCTTGATTTCCTTTTGTTGTCTTATTGCTCTAGCTAGAACTTCAAGTACAATATTGAAGAGATACGGAGACAGTGGACAGCCTTGTCTTGTTCCTGATTTTAGAGGAATTGTGTTAAGTTTCTCTCCATTTAGTTTGATGTTAGCTGTTGGTTTACTGTATATTGCTTTTATTATGTTCAGGTATGTTCCTGTTATCCCTGATATCTCTAGGACCTTTATCATGAAGGGGTGCTGGATTTTGTCAAAGGCTTTTTCAGCA